GGGGGGTGGGGCCTCGGGTGCGCCCCCGGAATCCCGACCCCGACCTCGGGTACACCCCTCCCCTTGCCCGCGGCGCGCCTTTTTCGACCGCGACCGCCGCGGTCATGACCGTGGGCCTGCGGTCAACCGCATGGGCCGCGGTCGTGGGATACATAGACGGCAGTGGCGTCCCATTGGCCTAACACTCTGTGCAGCGACTGCTGTCGCCTCGAGCGCTACCAATCAAAAGGCTTCCACTACCGCGTACGGAGTGAAGACGAACATAAAGAACAAGCTGCGATTGAGACCCTCCACGTCAGATTCTGAGTTGTGCAATGAGCGGCGTCGGGACTTGATCCGGAAACGAGACACTAGAAGTGTACCCGGCCCCTTTCACGTGAAACGAAGGGCAACGACCCGCTGGGAAGTTCAACGATACTTTTTGGATTGAAGTTCATTGAACTTCCCCGCGCCAAACGTCCCGTGTGCGCCCTTTTCTCCCTAGACATCCGCGTAGCGAAGGACCCTCCCCTCTTACTAAGGCGGACCAACACGGGGGGATTTCGGTTCTGTCCGTGTCCCCGCACTCAATTTCCAAAAATCCTTGGCACACCCCATCTTGCTATCTATCCAGGGCCCCTTTCCGCAATCAAAACACTCCGAACGGAAGATAGCGCAGGGCGTGAGGTTGCGCGTCACACGAAGCCCAATTTTTCTAGGCACTTGTGCAAGAAAAGCCAATCGACGTGATCGTAGGCTTTGAACGCAGCCAAAAGGCAAAGAGGTAAAGAAAAGGAGGAGGAAACCAAACCTCACAGAGGCAAGAAAATTTCTTCTTCTTCTTCTTCTTCTTCTTCTTCTTCTTCTTCTTCTTCTTCTTCTTCTTCTTTCCCTTCTTCTTCTTCTTCTTCCCCTTCTTCTTCCCCTTCTTCGTCTTTCTTTTTCTTTCTTCTTCTTCTTCTTCTTTCTTCTTCTTCTTCTTCTTCTTCTTCTTCTTCTTCTTCTTCTTCTTCTTCTTCTTCTTCTCCTTCKTCTTCTCCTTCTTCTTCTTCTTCTTCTTCTTCTACATCATCATCCTTTTCTTCGTTTTCTTCTTCTTCTTCTTCTTCTTCTTCTTCTTCTTCTTCTACATCATCATCCTTTTCTTCGTTTTCTTCTTCTTCTTCTTCTTCCTCTTCTTCTTCATCCTTTTCTTCGTTTTCTTCTTCTTCTTCTTCTTCCTCTTCTTCTTCTTCTTCTTCTTCTTCTTCTTCTTCTTCTTCTTCATCCTTTTCTTCGTTTTCTCCGTTTTCCCGTTTGGAAAAGCAAAGCAAAAAAACACAAAAATGATTCGGGAGCGAAGCTGTATGAAAAACAGTTGCTGGAAAGGAAAACCACTCAAACAATTAACTTTTAGTTTCAAAAAGGCGTCTGCTGGACGAAATTCCACAGGTCGTATCACCCTTTTCCATAGAGGCTCCCACGCAAAATGATTGCAGCGAAGAATTGACTTTCAACGTAACACTTCAATGACTTTCTTCTTCTTCTTCTTCTTCTTCTTCTTCTTCTTCTTCTTCTTCTTCTGCTGCTGCCCCTCTTGACGTTGTGTTGATGCTAATCTGCCGGGTTCTTTATCTTACCGACAGCCTTCTCTGGCACATCGACAGTGTTCGTCAACCATGCACTGACCGCGCCTGATCAGACCCAGCCTTTCCAGTGGTGACCGGCGATAACAGAAAAGAGGGCAATGATACAAACACTTCTTCCCCTTCTTCTTCTGGTACTTCCTCTTCTTCTTCTTCTTCTTCTTCTTCTTCTTCTTCTTTTTTTTTTTTTTTTTTTTTTTTTTGACAAAGACATCCACGGGCTGCCTATTATTGGGGGCCTTTTTGGGGCCCTTTGGGGGTGATAAGAGCATCCTTCATCATCCTTTTCTTCGTTTTCTTATTCTCCTTCTTCTTCTTCTTTCCAGTGGTGACTGACGATAACAGAGAAGATACGAACACAACAATCCAAATATAATCAAGAGTAAAAGAAACGGAACCACAACAGTGGGCCCGCAATATGCAGTTGTCATTCCACATCAGGGAGAGATGGCTGACAAAAGAGAAAGAAAAAATTAAAAAAATAAAAGAAAGACAAAAGAAAGAAGAAAGGTAAAATCTGCCAGAAGGAAAAGCATGCGCCTGCTACTAGGCTGCTGTAACAGGCCCGGCGCTTGCCGCATCATCTGCAAAAGCAGCGAGCTAGCAACGTCGGAGAATATATCGTCACACCGTATCGGAGCCCAAAAGCGAAAAAAGACAAAACAAAAAAAGGAAAGAAGGAAGGAAGAAAAGCTCCGCCTATTCATCACCAAGGCCGGCCACGTGGATGACAGGTTGAGGATCGGCTGCCCCCATCCCCGTGTGTCTGTATATATATTTTCTCTCAATTTGTAACGGTTACTGGCTTCAGCCATCACGAGCCATGTCTTGGAATATATCTTTTCCATCTTTCACGAACGTACCTACAACTACTCCGAAGGCCATACAGGGGACTGGGGACCCCTGCAAGGACAGCTATCTACCTCTCTTGGGTGAAGGGAGGTTACGGGTCTTGGTGGAGGGAGGTGATTGCATGTTTGCCCCTTGCAGTACGGGTTGAGGCTGCAGGGTTGGGGCCGCGCGTGGGTAACCTTGGTGCCAACCAACTGAGAGAGCCATCTGGATCCTCCCGGTCCGTATTAGTAGGGTCTTCAGCCAACACGGGTGTGAGTGCGAGTGTGAGTGTGAGTGGGTTGCGTGTGGTGTGGCTGTAGACACTGCTGTTACTCGACAAAGGTGCAGTTACTGGCAATTTGGCAAATGCTCGGCCCCGCCTTTATGTGCAGTGGAGGGGCCCTATATTTGGGAAAAATATATATGTTCGGATACGAGCACATAGCATCGAATACAAGTACATAGGGGTACAGAGGAGAAGGCAGCTTTTCAACAAAAAAAAAAAAAAAAAAAA